CTTACCTTACCTTACCTTACCTTACCTTACCTTACCTTACCTCTTTTGTACATATGTTTTTCTATCATCTTCTTCTATAGTTCCAGGCAACTCATACTAAAGCCAAAAGATATACACACCATAACTTGCTGCAACTTGTTTAAGTAAATAAGACACATCATGTGGCCTCCAGACTTGATAAAATAATATGATTATTTCAAAATAATCATTTGCAATTATAATTATTATAATTATTTCAAAATAAAAGCAAATTGCAGGGCAGGAAAATAATATAGAAGATGAAAAATGCATTCAGGCATTAACATTCTTACAATAGCAGTCAAGTGACCGCTTATAGAAACTAAGGTACAATTATCAGCAAGTGCTACATCATGAAAAGGCCCAGCATGTTGGGAAACACTACAGTACTTCTCTCCCAGCACTGTGCAGTAATGCAAGAGAGGAATGAGCAGCAAGCTGGATTTCCTATTATGTCAGCTGCAAAAGTCTGCAAGGAGGGTCTTTGTTCTAGTTTACATACAAGGTGTACGGCTGAAGAGAGAGCCAGTTTGGCCTAGTCGTTAAGGCTAGAAACTGTGATACTGTGGAGTTCTAATCCCGCCTCAGGCACAAAGCCAGCTGGGTGACCTTGGGCCAGTCCCCCTCTCTCAGCCCTGGGAAGGAGGCCATGGCAAACCACTTCCGAAAAACCTTGCCAAGGAAACTGCAGGGACTAGTCTGGGCAGTCTCCAGGAGTCAAAAACTGATTGGAAGGCCCAGACACACATATGACCAAAGGGCCCTCCGGGCAGAAATTCATGCTGTGTCTGTGGACGATGCCTGTATCCCTGATACAGGAAGTGGTGTAGGTGCAGTACAGAAAGGCTGAAAATGGTTCTCTCCATGCCTTCACGGTCACACAAACCTGCCATGGAATATGAGGAGAAGGTTTTGCCCCATATTATATTTAAATGCTATGCTGCACATGCCCAGTGTTTTATTGCAGTATCAAAAAGGCATCTAAAACATATAAAAGCAAATGAGATAAGCAGTGGTGATAAAAACAGTCTTAAACATGCAGCAGGGAGCTAAAACAAAGATTGATAGGCTTTGCAAAATGGTTGAAGAGCAGTTGTGATTCAGGAAATAAAAGAGAGGCATCTAACTTCATTTACACAATCCCTGTGCCCTGGGAATATAAATGCAGCCTATTCTATTTACATACTGTCTGCATTTTAATTTTTCATCTAGTTACAGGTCACCGTGCATGTTTTGTCAGAAACCTTACCTGCTGACCCCAATGATCCCAGCTAGTCATGTAAATTCCTGTCCATCACTGAACTTTTGGGGAGGGCTAGAGTTTCAGTCAAATATAATTTCAGCCTCTTTCTTCTTTGTGGCAGGAAGTGCGACTAGGAGCAAATGATCAAAAGTTTGTTCTAGAAGGCTTGAGTCGCGGTACTAAGTACACCATATACATTACAGCCTTTAAGGGAGACCGCTGGAGTCAAAAAGCAACCACCACCTTTTCTACAAGTAAGCCCTGGTAACTCTTGTATTGTAATATTTTGGTGCTATATATTGTCCTTAAAAGAAGAATGAACTTGGAATGAACTTGAAATGGGATGAGTTTTGTCTGGAGCAAGAACTCACAGATAAAGATGGTTTGGAAATGGAATATTAGTAGGAAAATATGCAACTGAAAACCATAATAACAAAACAGAATACTCATTTTTATAACCAAGTATTTGATGATATCATCGGAAACATGAGACCTGAATTGGGCTTAGAATAAACTAAGCTATGTCTGTATTTTTGTTTTGAAAGTTAGAACGCCTGTTTCTGATGTGGGATTATTATTGATCTAATAAACTATTCTGAAAATGATCCAAAGCTGATAGAAGAAATAATCATCAGATTTTAAGAGCAGTGGCTATTCAGAATAAGGCTGAACTTTAGCAGTTTCAAAAATGTCAGCAGTTGGAGGTTTCCATAGATAGAATTTGGAGTTTTCATACGCTGTACGCCATAATCATC